TATATAATCTATTAATATATAATAATAATAATAATAATAATATATAGCACTTTCATAATTGATCATAATATAATGGACTTATTAGCACATGTGATTTTTGTAGCTTACTTTTGCACGTGCACTTCCTTTTTTCACAAAATGACTATTTACAATGCAAACTCCACTTTCAATTATCCAATAAAAATAAAAACATTCTAAAAAAAATCTAAAATTATAACTAAGAAATCAATTTCTTTTTTAAGTTTCCGATCCCTTCAAACTAGCACCACCCAATAATGTTGATCGGATTATGGATTAAATTGATTATATAGTAATTTAGGGTCCCGTTTGGTTGACAAGATAAGATTAGCCAAGATAAGATTAAATAATCTAATGAGACCCAATTATTTTATTGGAGCTTGAAAGGTCCAACAAAAAAAACTCATTAAAAGGCAAGATAAGCCAAGATAAGGCAAGATAAGCCATGATTATATAATTTTGGCGGGTCGACCCGGCAAGTTATTGAGGATACCAAACATCAAATTAAGTCCAACTATTTAGTTAATCATGTCTTATCTTGGCAACCAAACGGGGCCTAGTTGTATTATCCCATCAATATATTATAACCACATGATTATTATATATTGAATATTAAATAGTTTCTCAATTAATTTTTTTTTTGAGGAAAAATATATAAAATAATCTTTAATTGAAAAATAAAAATTGATGTATAGATTATCGAATTTGGTATTCAAAACATATGCTACAACGTTGAGAATAAGTAGTCTTTATTCCACATTAAATAGTTTTACTTTTTCACACATTGTAATTAATATTTACTCTTTCATATATATATGGCAAATAATATTGAAATTCTTACACATGTTATAATTTAGTATGATATTTTAACACTACTACATCGGGCAAAATACATTGATTAGTATAACGCTCATCCATACACGAGAATACACACACATACACATACACATGATATTGTAGGTATAGACCCTACCGGATGTAATATTGTACAGTTAAATTAAATCTCTATAAATTAATGCAGTCGGAACTAATAAAATTCTATTAATTTAGTGAAATATTAAATTATTGAACTAACAATTTAGTACGTTTTAACTCAGTCGGGACTAGAAGAAATTATTCTTCAAGCGAGGTTATTAATTTATCAATATTCTATTGTACTTGATTTGGGTATTATAATGTAATAATGCGTGCTATTCCAATAAAGAAAAAAAATATATATCAATATATTCGAACTCTATATTCACATTCACATCATGTGTGCAATTAAACGCGTCGTCACCATTAACGCATCGAGGTGCAATGTCAAAAATCAATAAATGTTCAATGTACATGTTTTTTTTTTCGAAATCTTTTTGCAGGAAAAAAAAATATTGCATTCAAAAGTTCATAAGCTGGTTTTCCTTATTCAAACTAACATAATTCTCGCACAAAAAAAACGCCCATATCGTAGAATATTACTACACCGCAGTCTGCACAGCCACACAAACGGAAAAAAAAAACACCGATAAATTTGTCGACAATATTTAGGTATTAAGTTGGCAAGATCGAGAAAGTGGGATTAGCCTAAGGTCGGGTGTTGATCAGTATTTCGAACTGCATTTAGAGCTTAAATCGGATATTTAATTGTTAAAAAAGGAATTATAATCCTAATTTAGGAAAAGAATCGATAGAAAGTCAAAGCATTCATAACAGTTATGGTGACAAAAATAGTGTTAAAATGGGGCAATTTTTAAAGGCATAACAAATTTTATGGGCAGAAGCAGAAAATTCAAAATTGTGGAAGGCATAATAATGTAGAAATGGGAAGGCAGGGCACCACTAGTAATGGAGCAGTATTGCTCGGTGCGACTTTTGTGTGTCTGTGTGTGTATACACACACATATATTACGGCCACCACCCTTGAGGTATGGCCAAATTACGAAACAAACCCTTCTTTTAAATATTTTTACATAAAATTTATGTAATTTCAGTTCGGTAAAAAGTATGAAATGTTGGCGTACCGAAATTTCGGTTCGGTTTTAGCGATTTAACATCCCTAAATTTACCCGTGGAAGGGTATTTTAGTAAGATAATACATAGTTGAGGGGTGGCTGTAATTACCCAAATATGAGGGGTTTTTCATAATTAGACCATAACTCAGGGGATGGCCGTAATTTGCCCATATATATATAAGCCTTTTTTCTATATTATTTTGACTTTAAATCTAATTTTGATCATTTTTCATTATGATTTTGGAAAAATTCAAAACATGAAAATTGTAGTTTTTTTAGTTAGCTTTCTAATCCAATTTGAATCAGTTAGATCGGATCTCCGATGACAGTTGTGCTTGAATGAGTTACATTTTGAATTTTAGATAACTCAAAATATCAAAGTTGTAGACAGTGGTCATTGATTCATGCATATCTTTCTCACACGGTATCTGACGTTGGTGCTTTAAGTTGGATCAAAAAAGTTATCTGAAAGAACAACAAATGTTGTGTATTGAATTTCGTCAAATTCAGACTTAAAAATGGCCAAAATCATGATTGAAGTCGAAACAACATTATTAAAACTGAACCATGACCATAATAATCAAAATAAGATTTGAACAAACCCTAAACGGCAACCTTAACAATCAGCCCTCGATCGCAGTATTCCGTCTAAAATTCGAACAACATTAACGACCAACATTGCAATTTTTCCGAAGCTTCAAAATAGTATTCCAATAAAATAAATAAAAAAAGCTGCATAACCAGCTGTGTCTTACAAACACCATTACAGATTTCACAGCTTCACGAGGAAATGGGAAAAAATAAAAATAAAAATACAATAGGCATCGTCATATATAAGAAAGAGCCTTGCGAAAGAATAACAATATTATGTCAAAAAATAAATATAAAAATAAAAAAAGCACTAAAAACTATTAATAGTAACCTGGTTATTCGACCTGCTAACTCGTCTTCGTTTGAAAGATCATATGCCTCTGATTGGTATATAGAACTTGAACTCGCCTTTCTTCTTCTATGGCTGGTTGTTGTGTATCAAATGTAATATATAACTTCCTTCCTCATTCTCTACATGAAAACTCGGTAATTTTTCCCCTCCGTATTATAGTAATAATAATCATGAACTCTTCTTAGAGGAATACCACAGTTTCTTCTGGCAAACGAGTATCTTTTCCTGTTCAACGCCGTACTCTGTTTCTTCTTTATGGCAACTCCATTTCATCCCTTTAGCTAATGTGGAAACAGCATCAACATAGTAGCTCGATTCTCGGATTATTGCATACCCGTTCGGTCGTAGAATTCGATCCATCTCCAACAGAACATACTTCATTTCACACCTGTTCAAATTAACTGTCAGTTTGGAACGCCAACAAATACGATAACAAATTTTTAAACATGTAAATGACTAAAATAGCCTTCTCATAAACTCTCCTTCATGAGTAGTAATAAGGGCAAAATGGGGTTTTTTCTGCACCATTGCGAGTTTTGCTAATAAATGAATAAACTCATACAAATGCATTGAATTTTTTTATCAAATAAAATATAGTAAAAGAGCGTTTACCTGTGGCTTTCAGCAGTGAAAAGGCCGTCTAAATGGAGAAGATCATATGTTCTAGGATAGGTTGAGAAAGCCTCACACCTAAGCAAAGAACAAATAAAGATACGATCAGCCAATCGAATATAAGCTAAAGCTACAAAGAAACAACAATTCATCTTTTAAAAAACATTAAAAAAATAAATAAATAATTTACCAATCGTGATAGGTCCCGATGAGGCCTCTGTCATAGACGACAGCAAGTGTATTCGGAGCATAAGACGAAACAACATTCATAACCCACAAAGGATTATCATTCAAAGCAGCAGCAAATCCTCCATAAAGAGTGTTCATATCCATCACATTTCTTATCTTATTAGTTCCAATAGCAGGCAGAAGCTTCTTGTAGTGCTTGGCCCTTGACTTCCACTTACTATCATCATGCTTGAAAGCACCGTCACTTCCTCCACGAACATCAGAAACACGTTCGGGTGCAGTGTGCAGTCTTTCAGGCCATTTAGCGAGCGATTTTAGCGAAGTTTTTTTGTACTTTTGGTCGGGAACGACCACACAGGGCCTAATCGGAGTGTACCATGCTGCATCTGGCTCTGTGCCATCGTCACATTTCGGTGGGTAAGTATCGGGTGCCTCGAGCTTTTTGTAGCAGCTGCCTTCGGATAGTTTCTGCCACACTGCAATGTCGTCTTTCTTGTTGTACAGTTTGAAGCACATTGAGGTTAGCAGTTCTTGCAGCTTTTCGTAATCGGATCTTTGGTCTTCGATGGTTGTGTTCCATCCTCTCCAACGATTCTCGTAGTTTACTGGTGGGCCTGAGAGCACCCAGAAACCACCAGGTCGGAGGATACGGTTTATCTCCAATAGGTAGATTCCACCTGAAAATTGGAGAAAACAAAAATCACGACAGAGCAAATCTTGTCAAAAAACAAAAAAGATGCGATTTTTATGAGTAAAAGTTACCGAATTCAGTCCATGGAATTAGGCATCTTGAGCAGTGAGCCATGTCAAAGGAGCTAGATGGAAAAGGGAGTCTTTGTGTTGAGATAATGCCAAGAACTGCGGGAATTCCACGTTCTAGAGCGAATTGAACTTGAGCCTCGTGATTGTCTCTAGGTGCGAGTGAAACAGTGAGAATCCCCCGATCTAGTAAATCACCTCCCCAGCTAGCAACCTACACAAATCGTCCAAATAATTACAATCAGGATCATTCAATTGATTCAATACTAATCAATAATTATAGTACATTAAAAAGTAGCACACTAATGAAGTATTAATATATTGGACTCACCCCACATCCAGTATCAATGGCGGTCCTGATTGTCCCGTCTTTCATTCCCGGAATCAAATCTTGCATTAAGTCAACATATTCACTAACACCGTTTGGGAACATAGTACCGCCACCTGGGAAGAGGAACTTCTCCCCTTCTTTCTTCAGCCAATGTTGGTTTGATTTTTGCTTGTTAATCCAATCATATGGAACATTCCTGAGAAGATTCCAAACACATTTATTTTTAAATTTTCAGTCACATTATAAGTCATAAACTGCTCGATTTTTTTTTCAAAAAAAAAGATGAGAAGGAAGAACTTAATACCTGTACCAACATTCATTCTTGCTCTGTGGCCATTTAATGGGTACTTTATAACCATCAGGAGGGGGAACCAAGCACTCTTTCTTTTCAAAAACTGGAGGGCAATGGCGCTCCATGAAAGAAAGGCGATGAAGACTGTACTTTTTCCACCTCTGTAATAAATATTATATAATGTCATTCACATGATTACTCCGAAATCTTGGAAAAATAGAACATTAAAGAACATGCATATATTGAACTTACTTTTGGATCTGTGCATGGTGTGTAATCCTGAAGATCTGCACTGCATTCCGGAAAGTTTACAGCTTTGATTTGGAGAGATCCAGCGGGTGTTTCCTTGGAAGTTTCAACCGCTTTATTAACTTGGTCGGTAACATAGTTTTCCTTTTCCGAACAGAAGATTCCGCCGAGGTAGAAAGAGAACCCGCACAGCACTACAAACATTATAGCCATTGGCACTGTCCTAGAATTTCTATCCAGCGAAATTGGCTTTCCATCTTTATGCTTCATGGTGTCAAGATTTCTCTACAATCTGCAAGTAGATACAGGAAACTGTTATAAACGACTCCATTCAACAAATGAAATTGTTTGAAGAATAATCATCTCTCAATAATTACTTGAGAGTTGAGATAAAATGAAACAGTTTAGAAACGCAGAACAAGAAAAACGAAAAAAAAAAAATCATCATAAATTCTTCAGATTCTCATAATTCATGGATCAAACGGATGACATAAAGATCAAGAAACTCGAAGAGGGAAGAAGCAAACAAATGTTATGCTCTTCGATCACACTACAAAGTAGCAAAGGGACATGTGAAACATCACAGCAATAGTGTAATCACAGTAAGTAAGTAACAATTACCAATGTGAAGGGAAGATTTGTTCTACGAGAATCATGAATTGTGAATGTTAGTAGATTAGAGAGTTGTTTCGTATAAACTGGAAGCACCATCAACATTGAAAGAGAAACATGGAAAATATTTCAGATCTAATAGTCAATACAAGCAATAATGAACTGACTTTGAAATCTGGCAAGAACTAAAGATCAGACAACAATTGGGACACACCAATACTTTCTATGCAATCTTTTATTTCCATTTCCACATGATATTGGGCCCAACCCTTTTATGAATTTCAGCCGTCTTAATGAGGGCCCCTTCCACCACTAACTCAGGGAAAAAAAAAAGATGAGAGAAAAAAATGAGACCAATTCAATCAATCTCACCTAACTGTAACCATGCAAAAGTAAGCAAAGTAGGGGCACTGACAAAGCATCACTATGTACATGAATAAAAAATAAATACAGATGTATACATAATCAGCCCAAGAATTGTGCTTTAGTCAAGCACCAACTCAGCCAATGAACTCATTGCAAAAAGTGACAAATATACACTGATCATAGAAATGTACACTAAAATAAGTTTAATTTAGTTTAGAAACAAGGAAGGAGTTTTTCTGACAGTGTAAGATTCAATCTTTTTTCCCAGATTGAAATCTCCAGGCGTAAATATTTTGCTTTCGAATTACCAAAGATTCAAAACGAAAATTGAGAAGCCTCTCCAAATCAGATCTGCCATTCTAGAATGTGGAATTGGCAATTCGACAAACACTTGGAGGGCAAAAAAAAGGACCTGAATTAAGATCTGACGCACATCGTACAAATCCCAAAACAGTGATTTATGAGAGAGAGAGAGAGATTGATAATCAGGGTAAAAAAAAAGGGGTACCTTCTGCAGAGAATCAAACAAATGCGAAGAATTCGATGTGATTTATACGTATAATGCTCTTCTGCGCCTTCAAAAAATTAACGAACCAATTTTTCCCCAAGCTACTCAGAGTAGAGAGAGAGAGAGAGAGAGAGAGAGAGAGAGAGAGAGAGAGAATCAAAGAAGAGGGACCCTTGTGAAGAAGAAAGAGGATGAGGAGAAAAATGAGATTATGCCTCAGCCTGTCACTCAGATACCCTTATACAAAAATATACACACATATATACAAATCCATCTTTATATTATAATTATTAATTATATTTAATTTTTGATAATTAAGAATAAATAATTAAGAATAATAGAATATATATATATCCTTCAGCTTCTATCCTTTTGTTATGCCGTGTGCATCGCTAGCTGTCTTCTTTCTGTTTCATCTCTCTGTTTATTTCTTTTTTTTTTCCTCTGTTTTTTTTTTTCTTTGAGGTACGTTCCTTCTCCTTTCCTCTCTCTCTCTCTCTCTATCTTGCTTTCTCTCTCTACCCATTTTTTTTTTTTACTGTGATATTCATTTTCACTAATCAAATGTTGAAATATTATAATAATATGGAATATTGGAATATCTTTTTTTTTTCCCGTGAAATTTACAACTGAAAAGATTTGTGATATTGATAAAAAAGATTTTTTTTTTATTTTTTTTTTGTTTTAACGGAATTAACTGTTACTGAGGGTAATATCGGGCAATGAAATTGTGCCACGTAAGCTTGATGAAGAAGAGTCCCGTTGTCGGTAGGAATACGCAAAAATGGGTGGGCCCACCAAAAACCAATCACACATTTTTTTTAAGCAATAAGCCACGCATTTTTTCTTGGATTAAAAGACAAGATTCAAGCCCATTGTTAATGGGTTAAAAGAGTGAAAAATTAAATAAAACCCTTAAATTTAACCCAATATTAAATTATGAAAATGACCCATAGAATTTTACTGAGAGGGTGTTTAGCTAAGCTTATAAACTATTAAAAATAGCTTATAACATTTTTAAATAATTCAAAAAATAAATTGTTGTAGAGCTTTTAAGCTCTTTTTAAAAAAATAATCTACCACGCATTTTTATAAGATCTTATTATGATAAAAATAATTTATAAGGTCATTATCAAACACAAAAATTAATTCTAGAAATAAGACGTAACATCTTATCGAATGTTAAACCAACTCATAAGATATAAGAGCTTTATCAGTTATTCAAAATAAGTTTAGTCAAACGGGTTTTTACTCCTCGCTCGATCTCCGTATTTTAGAAAAAATAATTAATTTAATATTAATTTTTTTACACTCATTTCAAAAATTGTAAATTGCTAATTCAAAATTTATAAGCACTTAAATATCTTGCGAGATGTTTCAAAGAAATTTATAATCTTGTCGAAATACATTATAATCTAAAATTATAATGACAATAAATCTAGCCAGTGTCCTTCATTTTTTAAAAATAATTTATTTTGTCTTCTACCTTTTTTCATTATTGTCCTAATACTAAAATAATAAATCAAATTGAAGTTTGAAAATCTAGTCGACGTGCTTGGTCATGGGAACCAACTATTGTACTACTAACTATTATAAGAATATTTTAAATCAATAAATTTAAGGGTAAATTACACACACCCCCCTGAGGTAAGCTTAAATAACTATAAGGTCCCTGTGGTATCGATAATTACACTCAGCCCCCTGAAACGTAGTCAGAAACTCTAATGGGATAATGAATTGGATACGTTATTCCGATAGGGTTCTAACGGACTATTGGTTTCAGAAAGTGGTGGAGACAACAAAGAGCTATGAGTGATTTAAGAAATGTTCGGGAATGTTCGGGGAGCCATGTCACCCCATAGCTCTTTGTTGTCTTCACCACTTTCTGAAACCAATAGTCCGTTAGATCCATATCGGAATAACGTATCCAATTCATTATCCCATTAGAGTTTCTGACTATGTTTCAGGGGGCTAAGTGTAATTATCGATACCACAGGGACCTTACAGTTATTTAAGCTTACCTCAGGGGGGTGTGTGTAATTTACCCTAAATTTAATTACTAGTGTCTGTTAATTTAACATAGGAAGTGAGATTCAATTTCATATTGTATGCCTTGAAAATAATGTATTTTAATTTACATTATTTCTTAGAAATTCAAATCATGTTACAAATTGGGGAAGTAAGAGAGGAGGCAGGATTCGAACGATAGACATCTGCTCTAATAGTAGACGATAAGTTCTTTTAATTTAAAGTCTATAAATATTTAATGGAAAAATTACAGTTATTATCCCTCAAGTTTGCACCGATTTCACATTTGGTCTCCATGTTCACAAAAAACACATTTGTCACTAATTTAACCATTTTGATCATTTTCCTCAATTTACTGTTAGTCCGTCAATTAAGACAGTGATGGGCACAAGCTTGATTCCGTTAGTTTCAACGAAAAATTGACAGAATGTTCTAAAAAAGTTGAATTTTTGAAACATGGTGGACCATATGTGTTTTTTCTGAATATAAGGGACCAAATATGAAATCGGTGCAAACTTGATGAATGAAAACTCTATTTTTACCAATATTTTTGAACCCGCTTTACTATTTTTTTCTTCTAATTCTTTGAAATTCCAATGACTTTTTAATAATTTAAATTTGGTTTTTAAACAACAAAAACCAAATCCTTGTAAACTAAAATAAAATTGTCTACCATATTTTAATTTATTATATCATAAATCAAGATCGATAATAAATGAGTTTCTTGAATTCCGTTCATTGTATCATAGGATTATATATAGTAGTAACCCAACAACTTGACGGTGCTGCAGGGGAATATTAAATGTTATTTTACAATATAAAAAGGAAAATAAATATTTTTTTAATTATTTTTTTCATATTTAATTCAAATAAAAATAATACAAATTGATCCAATGGATGAATGAATGAAGTCAGCCAAATTGGTGTTCACATGCATTTTGACTAAACGATTAATGCAACACGCTTTTTTTTTTTTTTTTTCCTTATTCATGCACAGTACTCTGTCGGTTGCCCTTTCTCACCATAGCAAAATAAATGCCAAAAGAACATTAATTAATTAATTAATTAATTAATCCTGTAATTTTATTTTATTTTCCAAAAAACTGAAGAAAAAAAATAATAAAACAGGGAACTAAAATATAAATAAATTCAAAAAATGAAATAAATTGTTTTGGGACATTAGTTTTTATTTTTTTAATAATTGTCTGACTAGTTCATTAATATTACAATATTTGGTATTTAATGAAACGTCCATTTCCGTACATTATTTATTTATTTATTTTTTGAAGGATTAATTGTCTGACTAGTTTATTAATATTGGAATATTTGATATTTAATGAAATGCCCATTTCCGTACATTTTTTTTAAGTTAGAAAATAAAATTCAATAATTTTTATTTTACCCAGGGTAGTTTAATTTAATTTAATTTAATTTAATTATTGAGATTAGCATCTACCCTACCAAAGAAAAATTAAAGGGGGGAAATTGACAAATTAAACGAAGACCCCACGATAATTGTTGGTAATAATATGGACATAAATAACATGATTGTGTCCTAATTTGACAATATGCATAATCATGTAGCAGTTGGCAAATTCATTGCCTTTTTTTCTGTAATAGAATAATTTTTATTACCTTGATGTTATGATTTGTTCGACCCTACACCCGGTGAAAAACACCAGGTGGGTCTTCTGCTGCCACGTATCTATTTTTTATATTTTATAATAGATTCCCCGTTAGGGTTTACCTTTAGGGGTTTTGGAAAAAAAAAAAAAAAAGAACACGTGGCAGCAGAAGACTCACCCGGTGTTTTTCACCGGGTGTAGGGTCGAAGGAACCTTGCTGTTATTATGAGAGAGAGAGAGAGAGAGAGATTAAAAATTAAATTAACAAATTGTGGACGAATTATATTATATTTTAGTTTTATTTAATTTATCCTTATTTTTCAACATGTTAAAATAGTCTATTAATGACTAGTAGTGTCATCCACGAACTCTGTTGTATACCCATCGTAATCGGTAATCAATTAATTACAAATAGTTATAAATATATAAATAGGCTCTTTGAGAAAAACCCAAAATTTATTATTAATATAGAGAGGCTCAACTTTTTACATTTCATTATTTGAGATAAATCCATCAATGAAATCCAATACAATCAAACAAAAGAATTCAATCGATAACCAACCAAAATAAATAACGCAAACAACTAACGAAAAAAATGAAAATTAACTATTTTTTTACAAAACAACAAAATACATAAGAAATTGCAATTGGTTTATAAAAATCAGATAATGGATTAACATGGCAGAACAAGAGCACCATCCCGCTATGCCCCAAATCCAACTACATATATGGTAAAATAAAGAAACAATAAACAAAAATTCAAAAAATGAATTAAGAAACGATGTCGATTAAGGATCCACCATACGCGGACTTCCTTCTACCGCGACATCCTCTGTGCAATCTATCAAAAAATCCATAGACCTGTTTTCTATCGTCACGTCATCATCACCATCCCACCACCGTCACCACACCACACCATCTCATTTCCACCCTCGCGGAGATTGATCTCCTTCTCCGACGACAAAAATACGTCGACTCTCATGGCGAGAAAGGGCGACTGCTGCTTCGGATAGCCGCGCCATGGTCCTGGGCCCGCCGCCACTAGGACGTAGGAGATAGGAGTCTCTAACAACTTGAGGCGTTCTTGCTAATTATCCTATTAATAAATACATATAACACTATTCTAATAAATGTTAGGTGTTAGGAGTTAGGACCATTACATAGTATAAAAATAATATGACTTTAGCTTTCATTGGCTGATTAAAGAGCAACACGATGCACATGTTCCATGTTATGATGCATCACATATCAGTTGTCACAACCTTGAATATAATCACCATATATTAATTAATTACATTTTTTTTAAATGCTACATTTAGTAAAATGTATTTCTCACCTTTAATTGAATTTGAATTATACTTTGGTATGATTGTGATAAATTAAATAATTAGATAGTGAAATTTGGGATCACCGACATAATTCTTTTTTTCTTTCTTTCTGCTACTTTAATTTATTCTTTGCTTGGGCTATTGTCACACTTTAATAATACAGCTCAAACCTTTACTGTCATTCAATTTTTAATATACTAATTATAGAGTTAGGTCACAAAATGCAGAAACAAATATAGGTTAGGATACTAAGTACAAACTTTCACTATACAAGTTGGGCAATCTTCATGCATATATATATATATATATATATATATATATATATATATATATATATATATATATATATATATATATATATATATATATATATATATATATATATATATATTAAATAATTAATTGATGAAAAATAGAGGGGAAAAAAATCAATGGGTTCACATGGTTAGTTGAGTGGTCAGTTATCACAACACCGCCACCTCCATTCCTCCTCCATATGGTGCAATAAAACCGCAATAGTTCAAACAAGATTTTTAGAAAGTGACAATTGATTATGATTTTTTATATGCCGAAATCAACGCGTCTCTCGAAATAAAACGAATGCGACGTACGTCACTAATTAAATGTCGTTTTATCAGCTTTGCTCGAGTATTAAGAATATCAGTAAATGTTTTTTTTAATTAATTTTAGATATATAGAACACACTGAAGGCTTATGAGATCCCGTAGATATATTGACATAAATAACTATGCATTACGCACACATACATATGTGCGCGTGTATTATTATGTGTACACCGATGGAGTAAAAAACTACGTGGTGTATTTCATCAGCAGGTTCTACGAAACCCTAAAAGAGTTAGAATAACTTTAACTGTTTAGTGATGTTATTAGATAAAGTTAATACGTAGAGCTGAATTAATAATGTGAAAATAGGAAAAATGTAATGCAGTATTTGAAAACCTAACGTAACATATAATATGGAAAAAAAAATTTAAAAAATATACAGTTATTATGGAACATACGCTGTATCTCGTTCACCATAGGATCTGCAAAATCATAAAAATGTACGTTTTAAATTTAATAATTTGATGAATGTAATTAATTGAAATTTTGTCTGACTTTTGAATTTCAGGGGTTGGTACAATCATATAGAGTTGGGTAAGCATTGGGGTCCTTATTTTACCACGATTGGTGAATTGTTTGTGGATAAAAATAAAAATAATGAGAAAATGAAGGACTAATAATTGATAATTGGAAACGGAGGCACGTGCAGATCCATGTGAGAACGTGACGCTGTATTGACCACGGCACGGAGTTCCCTCTATTTTAATTTTTTCCTCAATTTATTATTTACCGACAAATTCATTTATGTATTTTATTAAACCCCAAATTATTAGGTTCGTCATTTTCTCAACGGTCATTTATAAATCTAATGTTATTATTATATGTTTAGTTTTTATTTTATTTTATTGTTTACGATAAGATGCAATTTTTTTTTTTGGAATAAATTAATTTACTTTAAGCTAACTATTGTTAATGAATTTAGTTGAATATCTTCAAATTGTTTTAATGTGGTTTTTTGTCCAAAGAATTGAGGTTCAAATGCTAAGGTGGTATTTGCAAAAGCTTTTAGAGATAAATTCTGAACTTTTTTTATTTTGTACATAATTTAATTATACGTGTTTGAAAAACAAGCTTTTGCTTTTAGTTTAAAATTTTAAAAGCATCCATAGACCTGTTTGTTTTATACATAATTTAAATTGATTTTTCAACTAATTTGTAAATACTCCAACTTTTGAAATTATTCACTTAATACAAAAATTAACTCATAATCACTAATTTATGTTTTTAAATAAGATTTTACAAACACCACCTTACCAAGATTGAGATTCCAAACTGTGTGAATATTAATTACTATAATAGAATCCCGACAAATTAATAACCTCACTAAATAATACGTTTTTCTGGTCCTAACTTGAGGACAAAGAGTTCAACAATATATCGTTAAATTTATATTTCATTAAATTAATAAAATTTAACTGATCCCTACTGTATTAATTTATAGATGTTTAACTGTATTTAATAAATTTGTCGAATTAATTAGTGTTGAGAAATTCATTCCCTTCCATCAAGCCCAATTTTATGTCCATTAAAACTTCAATTGGGCTTACATTTTATTCCAATTTCATCCGGTCAAACACCGGAATTTCGCTACACAGCCTGGCATACTATTGGGCCGTTGGCTCACGTCAACTCCCCCAATTGACTGGCAGCAACAGGTAATCGTCACATTTTGACCGGATGAGCAGGTCTCACCCACGCGCTCCGCCAGAATAAATCATAATTAAATATGAAATGTGAAAATGTAGAAATTCTCACCACAAAAATTCCTCTGTTCCACGGCCGTGGTGACCTTTGTCCGTGTTCTCCACACGTCTCTTCTACTGGCGTAGATTCGCCGCCGTCTTCGGCCTCCTCTCAAAGGTGAAGAAGCTACGTTTCTATTTCTCTCTCAGAGTTTTTTCATTTGAATATTTTTGTGAGCTCGCTTTATTTTACTTTTGTTTTCGTTGCTTCAATTTCGCGGGGGTAGTTTTCATTACTGGATGATTGTATTGAATTTGGAAACGGAATTGAATTGAAGTGAATTAATTGATTATTTATTTGCATTGCGTTGGTTGCTCTTTGTTTACACCATGGGCTTTTCCCCTAGCAATGAGAAGATTTTTTTACCCAATTTTGGTTTTGCATCGTCAATGTATCTATGTATGTATGGGTACGTATGTGTGTGTGTGAATATATACTCAAACGTCGATTTCCGGAACTCGTGTTTTGATACTTAGAATTATGTCCTTGAAAATAGAAGTCATTCAGATTACAATCAAATTTCAGTGGAAGAGTTTCTGATATCAGTTTCAAGGTTCTGATTTCGTGATGCAAAATCTATGTCGTATCCTGAGGAATCGAGTCTTACAAGTTGGCATGATTGACGATAATCTGTGTGTATGCATGAAAAAATGTAGGGAATAGCTTTTGATGAATGTTTTTCGTTGGCCAACTTCTAATCTCCATGCATATCTCTTGAATTTGTGATCCTTGTATATAGCTACTAAGTGCAGAAATCATCAAAATATAAACCGTTACACGTACAGAAAGAATTTTTTTTTAAAGAAAATACAAGAAACACACCAGGGTTTGATCTAGAAGTACAAATTCCTATAAGAGAAAAGAAAAGGACAGATATCTGCTTATTGAAGTTCTGGTTTATCGAATTGTTGCAAGGCTGAGCCAAGTTTTATTTAGTTTCTCCTAATACAGACGCACATGAATAAGTCTTGCATCTGTGTTAGATTTCCTAATACAGACGCACATGAATAAGTCTTGCATCTGTGTTAGATTTTCACAATGAGACGTTTGTTGAACTCGTTTTTTAGCCCCGGTGATTGATTACTATCAGTCCTATGTCGGACCGGCCAATAGCCAATTTGTTGGAAGGTTATTATAATATTTCCTCATGATAGCAAAATTCACAGACTATGATTTTATATGGTATAATGGCTCTTTTGTTTTTTACGGTTGCTGCACAATTCCAAGACGTTTATGACTTGTTTGCCTTTGAAACCACTAATTACGTTACTTCTTCCGACTTGCAGATAAGTAGCTCCACTGCTCCAGGGAGAAATTTAATGGATTTCCTGTGCAAACCACTGATCCAGGAAAGTTACGATTGCTCCTTGACCGAGCAGGATATTCATAAATGTCCATTCTTGAGGAATATCAGTATACCGACCAATTTCTCTTTTGCTTCTCTGAATTTTCCTCTTCCTGTAAGTTCTCTTTTTTTTCGCCTTCTAAAATTCGTTTATCTAAGCTGTTTTTAGTTGTCGCATTAGAAGCAATTGTATGAATCCTACATGCATTATTTTGTTTTGGTGCATTATTTTCCCATCTCTCTCCTCATACAAATAAATGCATCCTTTTTCTCTGCCTGAAATGTTTCAGTGCAACGAAGCCAAAGGCCCAATTTTCGAGGATGGTATCAACTTTGACTTGGCCTTCAAACTTTTTCATGGAAAAGACGGGGTTGTCCCTCTCACAGGAAACTCTCGACTCTCTCTTGATCAACTGGAAAGTAAGGTTGTACCAGAATTCAACCCTTTAGGGTCCAAAGCTGCCTCTATCAGTATGTCAGGATTTGGGCCAGGAGGGCCTTTTAGTTTTAATTCTTTCTTTCGGAAGACGCAGAATAAGAAGCCTGAGTCGTCCAGAAAGAAAGAGAATTCTTCTAAGGTGTGTTTGTTAGGGCTTATCCTGTATTGCTTCTATTATGCAGCAACACGTGCCAATTGCAGTTTTATATGTAATTATATTTTTTGTTTGAAAGTTTCTTACCAGTTAGATATTTGTTCGGCAACATAGATATTTGTTCGGCAACATACTTAGGGAGCAACCAAATTTTCCCAATCCGTGACTTAACTTCTTGACGCACAATTTGATTTTTCAGGGTGATTCGACAAAGCACGAGGCACTTGGAAACGAGTGGCTACAACAAGGGAACTGTCCAATAGCCAAGTCGTACAGAGCAGTAACCAATGTCCTCCCACTCGTGGCAACAGCTCTCCGGCCGCCACCTGGCATCAAGCTCAAATGTCCGCCCGCAGTAGTTGCAGCCAGGGCCGCCCTCGCCAGGACTGCCCTCGTTAAGACCATCCGCCCACAACCATTACCTGCAAAAATACTCGCGATTGGTGTTTTGGGAATTGCAGCGAATATTCCGTTGGGTGTTTGGAGAGAGCACACAACAAAGTTCTCGCTCTCGTGGTTCATTGCAGTGCACGCTGCAGTTCCGTTCATAGCTATGCTGAGAAAGTCCGTGGTGATGCCTAAAACAGCCATGGTGTTAACCATTGCAGGTTCTGTAGTTGGTCAAATGATCGGCTCGAGAGCCGAGCGGATTCGACTGGGAGCCAAGGCCGAGAGGGAGAAATCGGAACTACAGGCTACTCATCCAGATGGTTGCGGCAAGCAGATGTGGGACCCACTTGCGGAAAAGATAGCGAAGGCTCCGCCTTCGCCTGCTGGCGTGTGCTTATGAAAGTTTGGCGTGTTTTGTCGTAGACAATTGTATATCAAATCTAATATAGGTAGTGGTTTGGTACCTATTCTTGTTACATGTACACAATTGTTAGATGATACTTTAGAATCATGCTCGAGTTAAAAAAAATAAAATGGCAGGGTTAACAAAAATCGGCTGAACTGAGGCATGAACATGATTATCTAGTTTATCATGAATTTTCAATTCGGTATTTGGCATGTACCGAATTTTACGATCGCTACGGTGCTGTCGGCTACAAGAATTATAACCTAGGGCACCATGCAATTGTTATAAGAACAAGAAATTAAACCTTTACCTTGCGATATATATAACTTGAGAATGATAATGTCGAACGATATTGTCAAACTTTTCTCTCCTATTTCTTGATCTTCCGGTCTTTCTCGTCGTCGATTTGATTTTCGCTTGCGGGAGCACACAACAAACTGAACAATAAGTTTGTAAGAACACATAAATAAATATGTATTCAAAATCATTTTTTCTTTTTGAGTGAAAAAAAATGATTTTATTAAACAACCCGTTTTTATGGCTATTTTTGTTTTATATAATTGTTATGGGCCCAAACCGGTTTAAGCCCAACATATTCGGGTCGAGTGGCCCATTAAAAAGCCCAACAAACCCGGTTCGAAAACTCACTCACTCACTCTCACTCGGCCACCTCTCCCGTCAAAACCCCTTGTTCTTCATCTTTCCCAATTCTCGAACAGGTTAAACCCCTCCTCTTTCACTCTCCACTCTTCAATCTTCAAAACTACAAAGGTAACCATTTTTCTATTTACCATTTTTTGTTTTTCTTATTTGTTTAATCGGTTCGTTATTCATTCATTTGGTTGTAAATCTTTGATTTTCCTCATTTCTAATTATCGGTAATTTTTTTCTACTGAGGATTTATTTTGTGGTATGTTAATTAGTACGAACACGATGAAGATGTAGTTTCTTACAGCTGATCGATCATAAGTGAAACTGTTCGTACGTTATTTGTGGTTTAGGTTTTTGAATTGAAAAATCAGCAACATTTGGAGGTGAGTTAGGGCAGAATGGGTTGGAAGGCAGCACAGAGGCTCATTCATCACTGGAAGATCCTTAGAGGTGATAATGTAAGACAATCGAGATCGATGAGAGAAAATATTTCTTCAACTGTTTTATTCATTTGGTCGGCGTAGTTACGTGTTCGATTTTGGTGTTTGTTGTTGTTGGCAGGTTATGATAATCAGAGGAAAAGATAAAGGCGAGACTGGTATTATCAAGCGTGTGATTCGCTCTCAAAATCGTGTTATTGTCGAGGGCAAGAATTTGGTGAGCTATTCGGTTTTTTTGTTTCAGTCGTGTGTAAAACAGAAATAAAGCTTCATGTTTCGAAGTTATTTTGTACAATGGTTTCTTTCGGGTTTGGTGGGGGTGTTGGAGAATTGCGATTTAATACTGCGATTGTAATTTGTAGTATTCGAGAAATTTTTCATGTTCTATCTTTTGTTTGCTCGTCTCAATTTTTTTCCGATTTATAATTTCTCTGCAGGTGAAGAAGCATATCAAGCAAGGCCAAGGTCACGAAGGTGGGATTTTCTCAGTCGAAGCACCTCTCCACGTCTCAAATGTTCAAGTTGTAGATCCGGTTACAGGGTAAGACGGTGATTATGCCTCTTCCATTTTCGCCTTCAATAAACGGTTATGCGGCTCTAACATTTGGCCTTTGTAGGAGGCCCACGAAAGTTGGAATTAAGTACTTAGAAGACGGTAGCAAAGTACGAGTATCGAGAGGCATTGGATCATCGGGGAGTATAGTTCCTCGTCCTGAAATCTTGAAGATAAGGAGCACACCTCGACCAACCATTGGTAAACTTTCAGATTCTTGCGTTTTTCACACCTAGAATTGTGTGTCACAGTGACAAGATATAAATGGGTGGATGAAATTAAGTCGGGAGTCTCGTAATATGTGGCGAACACTGTTCTTTATATGCTGTTAATCATTTACTGATCAAATACAATTTGCTTTGTTGTATTCGTTGTTGTGCAGTTGGTCCTAAAGACACTCCAATGGATCTGGTTCTGGAGAAGACTTACGATGCTCAAACCGGTAAAGGAATGCCCGATCTTTAAACATCTCCTGCTGGATAACGTATTTTTTTCTTTATTTTTTCGGTTGGCTGTTGCGGTTATCTATAAACTCAGCATTACATTCTCGGAAGTTTGTTAGTTCGTGAAAAATGAGTTTCGTATTGTATTGATGGTTTGATTGAATTTACGGACGCAAAACTGATCTTCCAACTTTGAGAAACACTAAGGCATAAAGATGGTGCAGTTTACCATTGTTTTTATCTTTATGCATTTTATTAAATTAGTTTTTCTTGGTTAAAAAGAAATTGAAATCTTTTCAAATAAAATTTCTGAATTTTGATTGGACTAGATTAGACAATATAAAATTTTAGACAAGTACTATCATCTTATAAGTGTACCAAATCATTAACTTAGAAAGTTGTCCCCAAGCCACAACCGGCAAGAAAAACGAATAAGATAGGTAATCGAACGAGCATTAAATTACAGACGTTCAACTATATAGACAAAGCCACCAAAAACTATGATGGTAAAACAACAAACAGCTAGGTAATCGAACTAAATTACGAGTGCAACTACATAGACAAAGTCACCAAAAACTAAGAAGGTAAAACAAGAAAACTGAAATATTATAGTAATAAGAAGGAACATAAGTTACATAAAACGGAGCTACGTATCGTTTTATTCTGAAAACACGGAAATCATACTAATGCCCTAAAATGAACGAACCAAAACTAAAGAAGTAATTCACAAATACCATACGCTAAACCTGCAAAAGCCAGTCATTTTACCAAACCGCTGTACAAAACCAAAACTTAGCAAAACGATAGTGGTAATTACTCAAAATCATTACTTGGCTTGTCATCTTACCGACTTCACATAACGGTAGAAATTTAAAACCCACCAACATGCTGCTTCGATATATATCTACTACTGTTCACATTAGTGCCCCCGTAAGCAGGTTGAGCATTGCTTGTTCCAGGACAGTCTCTCGCCCAATGCCCAGTTTGATGGCATTTAAAACACTCACCGGACGCTCCACCACCACCACTACTGGCTCCACTATTGCCGCTCCCGTAAGCAGGCGGAGCATTGCTCGTCGCAGGGCAGTCTCTCGCCCAGTGTCCAGTTTGATGGCATTTATAACACTCACCAGTTGCACCACCACCACCAGGTGTAGCCCTATTTCCCGCACCAGTTCCATAGGATTGTGCTGGACCACTCATAAGACTCGGGCAATTTGCAGAGGTATGCCCATTACCACCACAGCTACTACAACTCATATACATTCCGGTAGAACCAGATTGATTAAATCCTGAGCCTGAGCCTGAACCACCGTACTGATTACGACCATATGATGAATTCATCTGACTTGCATTGCTATTCATTCCGCTATAACTAGTTGCAGGCGCTGCATATTCTCTACTTGTGGGCCCAGATGTTGGAATGACTTGCTCAGTTTTAGGTGGTAAAAAACCTGCCGAGTCTTCTTCTTTGAATTTAGCTATAGAGTCGAGCAGGAACCTGGTTTCTGTCTGGAAATTCAACTTCTCTGCTTTGACCACCGTTGACTTCACCCTCTGCTCGTCGCTGAAAGTTTCTTCCTTGACTTTCAATTTGAATACAAATTTAGTGAAGAGAGCACTTCGCATAAGCTCGTTGAATTTCTCGTCGTCTTGCTCCTCGTACTTCAAGTAATAAAGATCTTTAGCTGGTATACCCATTATATCCTCCCCACTCTCCTGAAATGCAGTCACCCAAGTTAAGCCGGTGTGGTCCTGTATCTGCATCTGGAGTATGTACCTGTAATCACATTCATCTACTACCTGATCACATCTTTCACATCTCCATTTTCCATCCCCGTTATTCGTAACCTTTTTGCTGCATTGACGTTCTCCAATCATGAGAGGACATGCAGTATAGCAAAAATTGTCCACTTTTACGAATGTTAGAGTAGCGGATACTGTGATCCAATCTGGCTTTTCGGAGGTACCTAGCTTTTCATCTTTGATCTGGGATATAGTCTTGCGTACATCTGCCCGGACCACATTTGATTCCCTCGATAAAGATATAGCAGGGGTGCTCTTCCCCTCGGTGTTGAACCATGCTTTAAGTTTCTGGGCCTCGGGAAAATCAGGCTCTACAAACAACTGGCTAGTGGAAATGGTGCCCACGGATTTCCCATTAAATTCATTTACTCTACCAGATTTCACTGCCAAAACAGGAAAAACCCCCGAATCGCACATGCCCTGTAGTGTCTGACCTTCGGCATTGCAAAAGTTCCCCCACAAAGTCAACTCAACACTTCTGCCAGACATGTCCTTTAGTTGGAGGGTTCTCTTTTGGGTTTCCATGCCATTTTTCCTCATTATCGAGCTGGACGGACTAATTGATGTAACAATAGCAATCACATCTATGACACTGTTGTTCTCCAAGCCTTCAATGTCACTTATGGGGCGAAAATGGAACTGCTGCTGTGGGATGGATGTATCATCCTCAAAGCAAGCCTGTATAGTGGAAGTACTGTCCAGCATAATCTCATGATCGTTGCGTAGGTGATTGAAAGCCTTCTGAGCAGGTTTCAGTGTTCCTTTTGAGATCATATAAACTCTACCAGGCTCAATTTGTTGGTAAAATTGATCGGCAACAGCATTGAAGCAAGTTACCCTTATTTCTCCACCATCCGAATCAAGAAGATCAAAGGAGAACACTTTACCCTCGCCTCGAGCATTACTGTAGTGCCTGAGATCCGCTTTTGCTGTTACTCTGGCCTTAATTGTCCACCTTCCTTGATATGGATTCAAGGCAGCAATAGGGATGATTCTAGCCGCACCTTCATTTTTAGCTATTGGCCCTCTGTTTGCAAACATTGGAGGGGTTTGGTTATACAGTGATTGAGGTGGGCGGGCATAATTACTCACAGGAGCTCGCGGAACACCAGAACTAGCTTCCTGTTTGGGATAGATTGGTGAAACATTTGAAGAGTTATATCTTCCCGAGTCCATATTACTTGAATAAGAATGTGAGCCTTGGTTCGGTTCTTCCACTGAATGCGGACCATGAATTCCACCACCCATATTTGACCTGGGAGCTGAACCACCCATATTTGGCCTGGGAGCTGAACCACCCATCGCTACGCCAGCACCATATGATGGAGGAGTAACATTACCGCCAGCACCATAAGATGAACGAATAACGTTCCCACCAGCAGACTGATTCATTGGCTGACCTGGTGCGGATGGACTGGTGGCTGAAGAGACATCCCCATCCATCAAAGCTGGGTAACTTTTTGGTTCTCCGATAATATCACATTTTTGAACTATCACATCTAGATCAATGATGATGATAATCCTGCTCAAAGTCCATAGAAAATAAGGTCAAGTAGGAAATATAACATAGAAACATTATGTATATAGCATTAAATAAATAGAGATAGTGCAGCTAAAAAGCATATATACCTATCAAACCACATGTATGCAAGTACGAATGACAGGTAGCAGTAACTAAAATACGCTATGGCGCAAACTACTCGAGTTATATCATCCTTATATTCCAGATAACAATTAAGACTCTGATGATTCTAAGTTAAACAGTGGAAAATGCTACAAAGGGTAAAATCAAAACATAATTTTTGAAGGAAAAAAATAACTACTTCAAAGTTCATTCCTTTTGTTCTCCCCAAGCCTAATTAAAATCTGGAACAACTAGAAAACTATAACAGTACTAGGTATAAGATCAATTTATCCCTCCAATTGAAAAAAACTGGTTAACTAAATATGGCAATTTTCCAACTCAAACACTACTGTTCAATCGAACTATCTAATTACAGGTGTAGTTTTTAGATTCAAATGCAATTCTTGAATGAATATTCACCACTCACTAATCGGTTCGAGAAAATTTGCAAAAAAAATAAATCAAAATACGCATAGTCATTCGCATCCAATAGCAAAATCGAAACTCAGAACTGCTCCAAAGCAACAAAATAAAGATCCAAACTTGTGACCCACTGAAATTAGAGGAACTCACCTTCGGTTCTGGATAAGATTACAGACGTACTGCACCAACAGGATAATGGATCCTTTCTGCAACTTGTCGGACCGAACCAAATCGTTGCGCTGGGTGGCGAGCATGCCTTGCTGGGTGAACGTACCGTCGGAAAGAAGGATCCGGTACCTGTCGGTGTTGATCTGATTCTGGGAATTGATCAGCCGTATGTCGACTACCTGCAGCACCGGCTGTACGTCGCTCCGCTGACCGTCGCCGGTGGACAGCATCGCTATGGCACCATCTGTCAAATTAACCGGAGGCATTTTCTGCAATCTAGGGTTTCGATTTGGGGCTTTCTGCAACGGGATTTGTAGAGTTGGAGGAGGGAGAATTGGTAAATGAAGAGTTTTTCAAAACCCTAAATGAGAGCTGAAAAGATGAGAATGAGCGCCAAAAGGTGAAATTTTTATTCAGTTTTTGTTAGTGGATGGAGTGGGGGGGTAGTTATCATCTACCTCTAGTCTATCTAGACCAACCAATAAAGAGAAGCCACGTGTTATAAGAACAAACTGGACTCATAAATTGAGGCCCAGCCCATTTGTGTTGGAATGTGGTTATCGTTCTCTGGAATTTGAAGCCCATTTTGGCTTAATCACACTTTTCACCATTGAAATTTAGCATTTTGACATTTTGCACCTTAAAAATAATTAATAGTCATTTATACCCTCGAAACACTATAAATTATTCACAGTGCATCCTGAATATAATATTTTAAACTTAATGACGGAAATTTTAAATTTTATTGATTTATTTTATTTTCAGAGTCCAAAATAAATTATTCAATTCTTACCTCCGACGTAAATTCTACCGTAAAAATAGCAAGCAAGAAAAAAAATGAATTAGTCAAAAAAACTATAATTTCTTAACTCTCACTAATTTATTCGATTGATGGATTTTTTATTGTAATTAGTGAAATATTTAGTAGAAATCTTTGATTGGATTGATTGATCTTTTAATTTACTTTCATTAGTTTTAAAAAATACATTCTAGTGCATTATACATGACTTATTGTGTTTTGAGCATGTAAAATGCTATTATTTTTTATCGATGATACTAATTCCAATTGTATCAGTCCGATTTTCGACGTGAAGAATGTCTTTTTTTCTTGTAACTAGTAATACACCCGTGCGATGCACGGTGTATTCATCGTAAAACAAATATTGAATAATAAAAAGGTTCTCAAAATAGTGATATTAATTGTTAATAAGTAAAAGAAAGAAGTAGAACATATTCAAAAATAAAAATAATTTGTATTGTGTAAGTTCAAAATAAGCCGAAATAAGTGAAAAAAACTAAACATCGAATGTTTTAATTTTCTCATACAAAAGAACGAATATATAGTTGGTCCCAAACTTGTCCAACCATAGTGACATGAACGTTGAAAACTTGAATTGTTTGCTACCAACCGCCCTAAACGAATGCAACAAATCCAATACAATGCAACTGACCTGCATATGTTGTAAAATGGTCACACGAAATATGTAAATTGTTACCAATATAACTTTTTCATTGCATAAAATTATTGTAAAAAGATTACCTTCATCAAATTTAGCGAGCGGAGTCCATAGCAAGTTCCTAGTACAATTAAAATAAACCTACGAATGAGGAATAACCAAACATAAAAATAATAGATAATAAAGGTCGTCAATAAATATTGTAATTTTTTGTATAAATAATTACCTTCATATACGCTAAAAAACTTCCTTGTATACAACATTATTTGTAACATTGGTCGTATCACCAGATTTCGAGTTAATCAAAATATTTATGCCACTTCGACTCTTAACCCTCGAGAGTGCGATATAGAGATGTCCGTGACTGAAAACAGGTCTCGGCAAGTACATGCCCACGTGAGAAAGAGTTTGTCCTTGACTTTTATTGATTGTCATTGCGAATGATACCATCAGCGGAAACTGACGTCGTTGGAATTTAATAGGCAATGCAGAGTTGGACGGTACCAAAGTCATTATAGGAATGAACACCATATCACCAACATGTTTACCGGACAGGATCCTGCAGTTGAGAACGTGTTTTCCCATATTAATAATCTGAAGTCTTGTTCCATTGCACAATCCTCTAGCCTGATCGATATTTCTGATGAGCATAACGGGAACACCTCTTTTCAATGTCAACTTATGCGGTGGAATTCTGGAACATGATATGGTGTTGAGAAACTCCGGTGAATATATTTCTGCGTTGACATCCGACAACAACTCCTCCTTGCACATACTATCTGAGCTGAAATAGACCTTCTCCTCTCCAGTTATGATCGACAAAAAATAATCGTTCACAAAACCGACACTTTCATTAGTGGGTGCAAGGATTGATCTGCCTTCGAAATACTCGGGAGTGAAAAGGTTGGTCACCAGATCCGGATAGACAAACTCTATAAGATCCAAAAAGGGATCTGCAGAATTTCGAATCAGCATGTCATCGGGAATTTCAATTGTGGCATCACCGTCATTTATCTCGCCAGCATCGCCATTGCCGATTCTCAATATCCAGTCCGCAAATTCTCTTATTTCATCTGCATTGGCGGAAGAGGAGGACGACTCAAGTCTCATGTTCTTGTTTAACTTCATAACCTTGCATTGCATCCACAACGGTGATGAATTGATTGTAGCATGCACAATGTCTTGTCTCGACGCTTTCAACACAACTGGCAAAATTTGTCGAAAGTCCCCCTCCAAGCACTACGACCTTGCCTCCGAATGGCATATATGAATCAAGTATAGATTTCATTGTTTTGTCGAGTGCTTCGAAACAGTACATGTGCATCATCGGTGCCTCGTCCCATATGATTAGCTTTGCTCTAGACAACAATTCTGCTTGTAGGCTCTGTTGTTTGATGCTGCATGTGGAGCTCTCATGTACAATTATTGGCAGTCCAAATCTAGAATGAGCAGTTCTGCCACCTGGAAGTAGAAGCGAAGCAATACCACTGGAAGCAACATTTATAACTATTTCTCCTTTTGAACGGATAACAGCCGATAGAGTTTTCCATATGAAAGTCTTTCCCGTTCTTCCATGCCCATAAAGAAAGAACAGTCCACCTCTGTCATTTGTAACAGCATCCATGATATCATCAAACACTTTTTTCTGCTCATCAGTAATGGATGAAAGATATTTCTTAAGTTCTTCACGCATAGCATCAACGTCATAGTCCAACTCGTCGAGAACTAATCTATTTACCGTGTTGTTCGTCATCGACCCAATTGGAATCGGCATTGGGGGAAAGTTACTCAGGCTTTTGCTGTTGTTTTGCAATATATTTTCTATTTCAATCAAAGCGTAATTTCTCAGAGTATCGTCTGACACAGATGGACCTTCAATATAATATAATATGAAAAATTAACATAATGTGGCGATTATAAAAATATATAGTTTTAATTCAAACGTGTGTAGTAAACGGTGTAAAAACGTAAGATGTATTCTCATACCTAAATTGGTACGACGTTGTTGCAGTCTGTACTCAATATCCTCGGCGAATTCTTTCCAGTAACACTCCCACACATGTTCCAGTCGGCTCATATTATTTGCGACCAAAAGTACGACGAATAATCGTCTCACATAGTCACCATTGGCCCACTCGTTTGCCTCCTTTATGCCAGCTATGTACTCCTTGTCGTCATCTAGTAGTCCAAGCGCAAAGCACGCATCTTTGAAAGTTGGGTAGATGTGATCCTCGACTTTCCTAAGATCATCGTAACACGTGCAACCTCTTTGAAAGTTCAACAACAGTCTCAAGTAATAGTCTTCACCCTTGCCCGGTGGTACATTGGTAACCCTTCCGATCGAGAATCCTATCTTTCTCGGCATCCAACAGCGAGCTTTTTCCTTATAGACAAATTTCTATGGAAACTCTACATACCTCAAATTTCTAGCTTTAGGGTACAACTTATTCGCTTGGAACCAAGCAAGGAACATCGTTTGCTTCGCAGTTGGTCTGTTCAGCACATCAACTAATGAGTCATTATCTGTAAACACAACAGACTGACTGTCCTGAAGATGAAAGCTTAACCTAATCACCGGTGGGTCTCTAAAGTGAATGTCAAAGCTAAATAACCTCCAAGCAGCCTCGCATGCCGAAAGATATCCGCAGTCGTAGTACATCTTTATCTCATCGCGATTTTTAGGAGTTGCACCTGGATTATTTGATTGATAAAATGCCGCCGTGATCCGATCGTGTCCTTTGTTGACGTACTTGAATAAATACTTTATCGACTTATTCTGGTTGCACAACTCGACAATAATGTGTGCTCTGTACTTTTTCAGTAGAGCACGGTTATAAGGCACGACGAAACCATTGTCGAGATATGTTTTCTTCTTAACCACGGTCCTCCCATTTTCTCTTCTTCTGTACACCGGATAACCATCTGCATCGGCCTCAGTACGGTTGACAAAACTCTTTGGAAATCGCTTCGTGCAAATCCCGTCCTTCGTGCATGGAGAGTTTTCATTGGCTAGACCGCACGGGCCGTGAATCATATACTTCTCAACCAAATCGTACATCTTTTGGTCTGTTACCTTATCTGGGATTTCGGCACATATGATTTTATCTATGTCTTTTGATGTCTTCGGTTTGTCTTCATTGTGAAGCCAAATCAATATGTGCGCATGCGGGAGACCGCGCTTCTGAAACTCAATTGTGCAAACATCTGAACATTTTACATTTTAACGTATTTGGTTAGCATTAATATACATAATTTTCAATGTTTGACGTAATAAAATATTTATAATATTATAAGAGTAGACAATGTATAAAATATATATTATGTTATATTTTTATCTTATAAATTGATACTTACATGCTCTAATGCGACCAAAAATTTTGCCCTTCTTCAGATCTGACATCAGACTGTCGAGCTTCATCTTAAAAACTCGAGCAAGAATATCGGGACGGTCATCAGTTCTCAAATTAGTACCGCTCAACGCCCTTTGAATTTCCGGCCACTGTGGATTGCAGGTAATAGTGATGAACAACGATGGAAATCCAATCCAGTTGCATATTTGAAGAGCATCGACGAAGTTGTTAAACATTTATCTTGGACCTTGGGTAAAACTGCCTGGTAGAATAACCCTCGTGCCAATGGATCTAGCATCCGTATCTCCCTTCAAAATACTTTCCTCGATACCCTTGTACATGTCAACTCTTAACTTATCCTGGTTAAATCTTATAAATTTCAGTCTTTCCGATTCAACCATTGAAAATGCGTCGACCATGAATTCCTGGCACAATTTTTTTGAGTGCAACAGAACTGCGCTGTTGCCAAATCTTTTCTGGATCCTATACGCAAAGTACTGTCGCATTGTTAACTTCTTGCGTATACGTGTACCACTCACTGATGTTTCCCTCAGTGGTATATCATCCCTATAACCATCCTCGCCGTAAGGAAATATTAGTGGATACTGCAGTGGAAGATATAAAGGGAGCAACTCAGTGATTCGCTGGAGTTTTTTCGACCGTGTCTCGACAACTATGTCTCTAACACCCTCATGGGTGTCAAAATCATCAACAATGAGTCCCGCAATTTCACTGGAGTTCGGGAGATTGTTAGTACGGCCATCCGTACTCCGTTTTTTTATGAGTCTCAATTTGACATCTTCCATTCCAGTCTGCGAGAGCCTGTCCCGGGCAGCTCTGTAAGACTGAGCAAGCATATTTGAGCTGTCGACCATATCCTTCAATGTAGAAACAATCTCAGGATCCAATTCGCTGGAACTGTCTCCGGATCTGCAACGATAAAATGAAACATAAAGTAAATTCATTGTAATATAAAAAAATAATAACATATAACTGAAAGTGCTTTATACCTGACTGCATCCATTCGATTCTTGACTTCATCTCCGTGTCAAATATATAAAGTTGAGCAAACTTGGGACGCGATCCTTCATCTGGCAACAAACTACCCATTAAATGGTAGTTTTGTCCATGGAGTAGGAACGTGTACGGACCGGATCCTCTGTTTATCGTAGTCTGTATCTTTCCTCCAATAGATGTGAATGGGAACATCATATTATGACCGTATGTGTTCTTGGAAATGCTTGCTTCTTCGATCGGTACCAAATAGGAGAATCTTTAGGGGATCTGGTGATTCTGTTAAATTGGGCAATTCGACTTTTCCTCCATTACAGCACATTGAAAACTTAGGATTTGATGTACCCTTTTGCTTATCGATCCTTTCCCCGTACCACATCATTGCGGCATTGGCATTCGTATGACTGATCACCAAGATCATCGTATTCTGCGTAGGAAAAAGACATCCGTTATTACGACGAAAACGACATATTATCATACTTAATTAATATTGGAGTACTTACCATCATCGTCGTCGGAATCAGTGAATGTTTCGTCATTTGATACATATTATGATTCTATTTAAATAAAAAAAATAATGATATCAATTGATTATTATGAACAATTTATTCAAGACGAATTTTACGTGATAAATGTGATCGAAATTATAACACATATCTCCACTGTCCGAAGTAATTTCCCGTATAGTCTGTAAATCTTCATCGACCAAAGTGACAGGTTTTGAATCCATATCCAAGTCACGTGCAACATAATGTATGGTTTTTTTACTCTTCGATATCATCTTTCCGGTACGAACCGAAGAACTGTAAATTATTCAATGAATAAAAAAATATGGGTAAATTACACACACCCCCCTGAGGTAAGCTTAAATAACTGTAAGGTCCCTATGGTATCGATAATTACACTTAGCCCCCTGAAACGTAGTCATAAACTCTAATGGGATAATGAATTGGATACGTTATTCCGATAGGGTTCTAACGGACTATTGGTTTCAGAAAGTGGTTTCAGAAAGTGGTGGAGACAACAAAGAGCTATGGGTGATTTAAGAAATGTTCGGGAATGTTCGGGGAGCCATGTCACCCCATAGCTCTTTGTTGTC